ATTTATATATAAATGACACATTCGGCACATCTATTATCTTTCTTATATATTATGGTTTGCCAATCATATCTGGCACACACACATACCTGCTCCAAATAATGGCTTAGTAGGTGTCTACTCCTCACTTGTTGATTATCTTGTTATCTGACATTTTACATTTACAACATTGTAAAAAAACCTTTTTGTGCATTAACAACGTATGTTTGGCAACAATGAACATCAAGGTGGAAGGTGAAAGAAATACTGGTTGTAATGGTAAGAGGTTATATATCAACTTGGCTGGGCCATGATTCTATGTGGCTTATGTAATGATGAAATCTGGCAGTTACGTAATAATGTGGTCACCCTCCATTTTTGCAAAATGCCATTTTCATGTAACAATCTGGTCTTTGAAACCTAAATATCATTAAGTGAGGAGTGGGTGTATATATACTGGGATGATTCAAAGCAAAATGAGGCTTTCATACTAAAACCACCAAAACAAAAACAAAATGCCCCCAAACAAATCTAAACAAGAACACCTATGAACTTAGACTGTTTCATTTGCTACAAGTAGAATTAGGTTACCAGTTGTATGATATGGACCACCTAATGTATAATGCATTGTTGTTATGTGCCATAACAACAATGCATTATACACTGGCATTATTAAATGTAAATTAGAACTTTTTTTCTACTATGTACTTCTGTTATTAGGTACGGTTGAGTCATCTGTGACTCACAGAGACACTATGTTCAGCAGAACGTAACAATTCCTGGCCCTATGCTAGCCTCATGATCTTTGCTATATCTGAACCCATGGTTGCAGGTGCAGTGTCAATACACCTAGGTGAGGGCCTTTCCCTTTTTTGCTGACCCTCCACTTTACCAAGCATGATTCTCCCTCTCCAGAGAATGGTCCCTTCTGACAACATGACCAAAGTAGGTGAGATGCAGTATGGCCATACTTGCTTCCAAGGAGCATTCCAGCTGCACTTCTTCCAGGAAAGATTTGTTAGTTCTTTTAGGAGTCATGGTACTTTCAGTATTTTTTTACCAACAGAACTCAAAAGCATTAACTCTTTTTCGATCTTCCTTGTTCACTGTCCAGCTCTCACATGCATATGAGGTAACTGAAAATACCATGGCTTGGGTTAGGCTCATCTTAGTCTTCAAGGCTCTTCAGCAAAAGAGGTCTTTTGCAGCAGATTTGCCTATGGCAATACATCGTTCGATGTCTTGACTGCTGCTTCCATTGGTGATGACTAGAATCAAATAATATGAAGACTTTGACAACTTCAGTCTTTTCTCCATTTATTGTGATGCTGCTTATTGGTCCAGTTTGGAGGATTTTTGTTTTCTTTATATTGAGGTGCAATCCATACTGCAGACTGTAGTCTTCAGTTTTCATCAGTAAGTGCTTCAAGTCATCCTCACTTTCAGTAAACA